GATGATGATGATGATGATGATGATGATGATGATGATGATGATGATGATGATGAAGATGATCATGATGATGATGACGATAATTTCCTGAATAGTTGCTAGCAAATGGATAGATACTTCTAATACTTCAATAAGAATGGCAGTATACGAGGGTGTACCCAAGAACTAATCTCAATCGCAGACAGAAGAACTTTCTCAAAGAGCGGTGGCCGAAACATAATAGCATGGGTCTCAGAACTATCTAGCAGGTTACCTTGACGTCCCACTCCCCCATATGGTGCACACATCATGTTACCAGATATATGTGTGAGAAACCAAAAATGTGCCCACCTCAAAAGAAGGATAAACAGGTCTGAAATGGGATCTACAAGGGGGGAAATCGATATGATGCAGGAACCGCAGAACAAGTTGAGTATCGCATAGCTGTGTGCCCCCCCCCCCCCCCCTTAAACTCCTCCAAAATTGAGAAGAAGGGCAGACGCAACGCACTCTATTGAGCGTGCGGGTACCAGATGTTACACTAATGTAAATATTTTAAAAATACATTTTTTTAACAAGGACAACAAGGTTATTCAAAAGTTTTGTTTTCTTGTTTTGTTTGAGTGAAGAGAAGCACACCATCGACACAATAAAAATGGTGCTGTAATTCATTCAAAGCTGGGGGAAAAGTAAAAGAGACAGACAGAAACAAGAGAGGAAACGCAAAGAAGTAAGAACTATCTGCAATCATCAGTGGCGCTCTCAAACAACCCGTACCCAAGGCCATTCAATTATCAAAAGCATTTTGATACACAGAATGCAAAACCTGTAAGCTTTCACACTAACCTGTGGGGATAAAGACAAATCCCGTGACGATAATGATGATGAAAGCCAGCACTTTTGCAGCAGTAAAGAATTTCTGGATTTGCGTCACAACTTTGGTATATGTGCAATTGATGGCAATAAAGGTCACTGAAAATGAAGCATAAAAAGAAATGCAACTTTTATTGGATGACAGCGAGTGACCATACAGCATAATATGTGTAGGGTAAATATTCAGATATATAATATGAAGTTAAAAGTTATAACATGAGAAAA